ATCCAAGATATAATTTCTAGGCTATACGAATTCATTTTCGCAATATCACTTAAATTCTATTGGTCCAATATTCGTTCACTCGTTCATTCGCTCGTTTGCTTGTTCGCTCGCTTGTTCGCTTACTTCACGTGATATAATCTTTATCCAATAAGATATGAGATATTTATAATCCAATAAAATATTATGACAAAAGGTCATTATACAACAATGTTAACCTATAATTATATGGTATAATTAAGGTTGATAATATAAATAAGTTGTTATAAGTGATTTTAAATCTGGTTTCTGCTTCAATAGCAATAGAGATGGTTTTCTTAAATATTTTAGGTGAATTTAAATTAATAAAAAAAATATATTATAAATTGAGATCTTTAATAAATTTACAAATTTTATATTGAGTTGGATAAGTATTAATTTTGTAAAGTAATGAATAAATATCAGCTACATATTGACTAACTGATTTGTTTACACTTTGAATATGATTATTTAACTGTTATTACTATAGTAATAATTGAGTTTGAGTATAAAATTCATTTAGAAAACATATTTTGAAGAAAGTTTTTTGATTATTAGGATTATTATAATGTATAGATCATGCATTATTTGCTTGTTGATAATACTATATAAGTATATTGATATAATATGAATTCTTCTTTCATTACTCATATTATTAACTCTTATAGCTTGTTCAAATTCTTCTATTCAAGTGATTAGATCATCTTAATTATTTTTATGAAATATTAAAATTGGAATTGGATCTTGATTTTGATTACTAATTAGATCTGCTAATTATTTAAAAGTGATATTTAGAGTAGTTATTGTTGGTGATAAAGATAATAGTAATTGTGATGATAATTTTAATTCGATATTTTCTGGTAATAATAGAGATAAAGCAAAAATTAAAGCATCTTGTTCTTCTTTTTTTTAAAGTTTTGAGTTTGTTGAGTTGTTAATAATATTTTTAGATAATTTTGAAAACTTTGTTTAAAATTTGAATAATTATTGATATTGTTATTACTATTTGTAAATATGATTTTTGACTTGTAATTATTAATATTAATATTAATGAATGAAATTTTTGTTCTATTTTATATTTGAATAATTAATATTATCTTTGTTAATTGAAAGTTTGAACTTTTTCAGTTAAATTATTGAGATAATTAAATAATCCAGATGGTTTTAAAGAAGTATATAGTGATAATCACTGTTATAATCAATATTTAATAATATTAATTTGAGATTTTTGTTTGATAATATCAGCTTCAAATAGATTATAGAGAAATTTAAATAATTCTCTATCTTGTTTTTTTGTGAATTCAGTATTGATTATTTCTCTTATAATATTAACAAATTGATAGCAAATCTTAATTTTAGTTAGTTTAGATGAATTCAATTTTGAAAAGTGATTTAATAGTATCTAGCTCCAATTTTATTCTTTACAGAGAGAGCACCAAAAAGTTATTATTGATAGGCAAAATATTAACTAATTATAATAATTAATTAAAAATTATATAAAAGTGATAATAATGACTATATATATTTGAGAGGATTGGATACTAGATAGTTAAAAGAGAGTATAAAAAAATAGATTCTGATACTTTTATTAGTTGGACAAGTATTTTATAATTCAAAAATATGAATAATTTATTAAAATACAAAAGATGATTTTTATTAGTTGGGTAAATCAAAGTTAATAAATCAAAGATAATAATAAGTAAAAAATTATTTAGAAGTATTAATTAACTTTTATACTTTTATTACTTTCAAAATTATTACTAAAAATTCTTGTTATTCTATGTTAAATTACATTTGTTTAAATACATATAAATATAATACAAATCTACATAATGAGTAATATTACTTAAAAACAATTATAAGATTAATTTGAAAGAAGTGCAATGCCAAAAAATAATAAGTGTAATACTAATTTAATTTAAGTGATGTCACGATCAGACTTCTGATAGGTGTTATCATAATATAGATGTTCAACCAACGTTCTCATAATGAATATATAAATATGGGTTGAACACAGGTTGAACTCTGGTAGAACTCTGGTAGAACTCTAGTTGAAAATGATAGAATGGACAGATGCGCATATAGATACTGTAATCGAAGAACGAAGAAATAGAAATATAGAGTATCATAATCTCGGAAGAAATCGAAACATATTTTGGCATAGTATTGCAGATAAAATCAATCAAGAGCATAATACTAAGTTTACTGGTTATCATTGTAAAGAAAAATTTTCGAATCTTGTTCGGAGTTATAATGTAAGTTCGCACGATAAAGCATTATTTTTTATCTAGCTCGCTATTAACAAAATTTAGGGTTTCTAGGCAATGTGTGAATATATGTCAGGTAGACGTGGAGCACGGAGAAATCGATTGGGTTGATGAGTTTCGAACACATTTCTGTGAGAGGCCCGAAGATGAATTCGATAGAATCCGTACTATCAATACCTCAAACCGTAGACGAAATAGAAATATGGGAAATATAACACCAGCACCATCTATTGACGAAGTGTCATCAATGCTAAATAGGAGTCGCCGTGAATCTCCCACTGGTCAAAGAGATCGGTCTGCATCTCCAATCCGAAGAACTCCAGCAGAAGAGACGAAACTACCAATCGAGATAATGCAAATAATGTAAATAATACGAGTAAAAATTTAAATAATAATACAAATAATGTGGGTAGAAATTTAGGTAATGCTACATACTCATCTTCATCTGAGTTAGCAAATATGATCTCAAAGCTTAATACATCCGCATCACGGAATGACAGTGATCATATTATGCATGATGTTGAAGATAGTCAGCCACCTCAAGTGGAATCTATAAATGAAGAGGGGGGTTCGATTTCGTCCCGCTATGCAGAATTTCGTTTGAAAAATTGATTGCGTATACAGATATTCGATCAGGCACGTAAGTGCCATTACTTCGTAATACATATCATATATTATACTACAGAATAAAATCGTATGTCGTGGAACTTCTCCATGCATGATGGGTACGAAGTGCCATTTCTTCTGATTGTTATGACAAAATTTCTGAATAAAATCACATGCCTGAAAAATAGATTGCGTAACACAGATGTTCGATCAACATATAACCACCTGAAAAAATTTCTGCCGAAAAGTAACGTAGTACATGACATTGTGAAACCGAACATATACCCATGTCTGCCCCATTTATCATTTTTTTCGCTTTCTTGTGTATCATTCAGCAGTCTACCAATAAAAATTCACCAAAGCCATGCGTAATGAGTATGTTGTCGCAATACTCCACACAGCACTACATATTGTTAGGGACAGTACAGAAAAAGAGTTTAGCATGCGTCCACAACAAGAAATCATCGGGGAAGAAAGTTCCGGGCGTGTCGATTATGCAATTAAGGTATGAATAAGGTGCAAGATTTAAAATCTTCTATGTAAGACCGATTTCGCTAACACCTTTTTCTTAGGATTCTGAGGATCTTATTTGCATTACGGAGGATAAACAGCATAAAATTCCTATGGGGTTTGCACAGAACATCAAACAGCTGGAGAGTTCGTTCGAAACCAACAAGAAAAAACGTAAGCGGGATGAGGCATTTGATGATGATTTCGATTATCTCTATGGTATCGTTACAACAGGTCGAGATTGGCACTTCCTGCTATATAGTCCTGGCGAAATTGCGCAGGCAAGCGATACCGCCCTTACTATCGAATTTACCAAGAAGGCCTTGGAAAAAAATTCGGAGGAATACGAAGCATTGTGTAAGGGCGTGAAAAAGGTATTGGGTGTTATCGTTGGTTTGTTAAAGGATAGGGCATGTGTTGGAAAATCGCCGGCTACAAAAAGGGCTAGGGTTGAGGGATACCGCGCTAAAAAATGATGTAATAGAAAGGGTCTGTACCCGACTTTGTAATTTATTTTTTTGGTTAATAAAGAAATGAAATTTTTCACGCGTTACGCATATCTCTGACCCGGAAATGTCAATCGCGATTATTTTTTTTCTTGTCGAAAGTGATCGGCTTTACGAAATTTTATTATTTCCAGCGAAACCTAACATACCCAATAAACAACATTGTTTTTGGAGAGTTCTCGACACTTTGTAAGTATATTCAGATTACTTTGGTTAGGAATGCAGTTATTGCAAATTGATTTGTTATTATTCAAAGCTATATTATCTTAAACGCGCGCTTGTTAGGCTGTGTAAAAATCGAAAAGAAATTTAATAATCTTCCCATTTTATAATCTGCTCATATACAGTTCCATTATATTCAAACCAACACAACTGATCTACCCCTTTAACTATGCTTTTCGATGCTTCTTCGGGAGAATCACCAAGTGGCCATAACGTTTGACTCATATTTTCCCATTGAAAAACACGACCATAACAGTCTAAAAAGATCATTCCATACTCTGTCTCCCCGATAATAATTATATGATCAAAGCCGAAATCAGCAACACATCTTATATGATAAATTAGTTCTTTAGGATCACCATCAAGAACGTCATAATCAACCAAGGTTGCAATACGAGAATTATCTTTAAATGCATCAACTAAGATGAGCGAATCGTTGCAACACGACGTTCTTCCATTTTTTCCTTCACATAATTGCACTTGAGACATGGTTGTAGGATTTTCGGTAATTGATTTTCCTTTGCCGGTAAAGCGAGAGTCCGCGTGTACAAGGCGACACGTTTTCCCGGGGACAATCTTTTTCCAACCATCGCCTCCCAGGGAACCGATTCTGAGCAGTTTCCCAAAGGATGCTTGTATTCTTTCAATTGTCTCGGTGTTAGGACATCCTTCCAGTTTTTTGCCCACCGTAATATCTGTATTTTCTCCTTCATTGTCTTTACTACCTCCATTCTCACTGTTGGATCGCAACGAATCGACGAACCCATCATGAATTTCACATCTTTGCCTTTCCGTTTCGATACTTGAATTGAGTATGTGAGGTTCACTGTTGTCGGACGCAATTTTGGATCTTGCTGTATTATCACTATACTCTGTGCTAAGCGTTCCTGACTCTCGTGTAGATATTTGATTTGCTCCTCTACTGTCATCTTCTTTGAGGGCCGATGTGCGTAACTCCAAAGGAGACACCAAGCGTCGTAAAACGTAATAATCAGTATCGGTTGAAACTTGTATAGGAATACTGTTTTTCCTGTCGGACCGCAAGGTGTCAATTCCCCCTTCGTTCTATATAGAATATGATTTTTGAATTCGTTTAAGCTTTTTTTCTGCTCTTTCTCTCCTTACCTGAAAGGTACCACGAAATCGGCAATGAGTTTCTTCTGCCATGGTTCATTTAAGTTTTCTAACCAGCTGAACGAACTTAAATAGAAATAAATATAGAGTTCTCACAGCCTCAAACTAGGGAACATTAAAATACCTTATTTGGTTTTCGATTTGCACGGTTGTTGTCTTGTGCACAAATAGTGTGACAGAGTAGGAATAGCAGAATTAATTTGCTTAATAATCAAGCCTTGAATATTTATTATGCGCAGAATGACGTCTATATTACATCACAGATCATTATATTATATTTAGATATTATATCTATTAATGCTTTTACTTGGGATTTTTTCTTCAACAAGAGTATTTATGAACATGTTAATGATATATATTATAAACAAAAAAAATAACTGAGTTCAGATAATTAATTTTAGGTATATATATTACACATTTTCCAGATATTCTTAATTGCATTTAATCTTGCAACTAGTTTCATTGAGCAATTTAAGAGTTTTATTTTGAAAATCCACTTTCATTGCATTTTTCTGGAATTATGGCTGATCCAGCATCAGTACAGGTTCAGGAATACTAACAACAAAAATATCAGTAACTTCTACTTGTTTCCATTTAGAGTCCTGAGATGAAATTGAAATAGAAATTTTACGAATTACTCCTACTACATCGAGTTTGCTAATGGATGTGTATATTTCTACATCAGAGATATCATCGATTTCTAAAGCTAATTCATTTACTACCTCTTCAGCTATAATATTGCAATTAGCACTGGAATCTAATATAACTATAACTGGTACTTTATTAATTTTGTAGAATAAAGTTATCATTGTAATGTTTTATTATGATAATATATTTATATTTTTTCTGTGTATTAATAATAAATCAGTTAAAATCCAATGGTTAACAATAGCTGTGAAACAGTTACCTCCGGCAATAATACCTCGAAATTAATATCTAAAATTGTTAAACAGATATCACATAGAAGAATTTTGATTTCTCTTTACCAATTACTGGAAATAATAAAATCTGAGATTAGGCTAGAGATTATTGGCTTAATAGCAAATCCTGATATTTCTCAAAGAAATTGTACATCATACAAGGCTAAAAGAAAAAAAAATTTTAAATAATATCGCATCTGAATTCTCATCCTCGTCTTCATCTGAATTATCTAATGATAATGAAGATTTTACTGTAGATGTGGTAGGTGAAAGCCATGCCACGTAGTGGTATCCTCTGGGCTTGCTCTGCAATAAAAGTAAAGAAACGTAATTAGTTATTATCATCATAGAGATGGAATGGTCTTGCTTGCTCTGGAGTCTGTCTTTTTTTTTGATAATTTACTATAACATAATTCTGTACTGGAGAAGTATAGTTATCGGATGAATGACGTAGACATTCTTCAACAATGATATAAGCATGTGCTAAATTCTTTGCCCCATGTACTATCACACTGTAAACTGCTCCTAATTTACATAAATATTTAGAAATTAAATCATAATTTTTTAAGAATTTATTGAACTATTTAGCTTCTGGCTTACCTGGATCATCCATTCAACCAGATGATATAGCACGCTGAATTCAAGTAAGTAGTTTTTTGGCTCATTTTTGATTCTTTTCCATAGATCTGAATTTTCTGAAAATATCTGATTGACCTCGATTCTTTGTATAACTGTCACTCCAGCATCTGTAATGCGTAAAGTTTTAAGTTCAGCAGGATGAATACAAAGCATCACTATAACATCAGCAAGAGCCTGACAATTAGGTAAAGTTTTAATATTATATACATCTAATTTTTCTTTGACTGATTTTAATGTAAATTCATCTGGATAATCAATATGTTTAGCTTCAGCTTTTTTCTAATTGACACTTTGAATTTTGTTGGCATCTTCTGTAATATCTGAAAATTTCGTAGTCTCAATTATTTCAAGTGATGCATTAAGGTTCCTTAATTCTCTACAAAGACGAATGAGACGTGATAAGCCAGCATTAGTATTTTTTGCTGATAGAGCTAAGGCATAAGCTTCAGCTCTTACATTTCTAATACTAAGTTTATCTCGTAAAATTCATTGCACCATATTTCTAATAGTTTCTTCCTCTATTCTTTTTTGGAGTTTGCTAAAAATCGTAATATTTAAGATTTTATCAGAAGTATTTTCACATTGTCCATTTGTCTGGATTAAAGATGATACAGTAACTGTTGCAACATGGTGACAAATAAAGCATTATTTAGTTACAACTAGTTGCAGCTTATAAAATTTTGGAGTTGCAACATGTTGCAACAGATAACAAATAAGCATTACATACTTGCTGCGCCATCTCTAGTCTGGATTGTAAATAAGGCATTCACTTGATCCTCACTAAATTCATATCTATTCTGTAAGATTTATTTTGCTTTCTCTCTAATGATCTCTTCTTCCAAACTTTTTGGGAGCTTGGTTATAGCTATTCCATTACAAAGCAATGATCCTTCAGATCTATAATTATCTTTAATCAAATTTATAGTTTTATTTTTTCCGCTTCTCTGATTAGATATCAATATACTTATCTGCTTATTGCTAAATTTAAAATCATCCCGAAGACGTCATTGAGCTTGATTCCACTTTTTATCATCAGTAAGATTTTCAAGAAATTCTGAGATATATTTACTGAGATCAGACACACTTATCTTGGGGTTGAGATTATAGTTTCCAACGATTTTAATTACGATAGCTAACATGATCTAATGTTATAGTAGATCAAGTAGTTTATGAATAATTCTTCAGGTTATATACACTATAGAAAATATTTTTTCAAATCAAAATTAATTATGCTTTTTCCTCCCATGCTCAGAAAAAGAGGGTATATGGCTATGCATGGATAATTATAAAGAAATTTCTGAAATAGCAATTTGGAATATTATTCATTCTTGTCCAAGAATTCAACAGTTCGATATTTTCAATTGTAATATTACCTGTACAACTATTAATAAAATTAAATTATATATTAAAATAAGATATTTAAATCTGGATATCACCACTCGATATTTGAAAAAAATTGGCTGAATCAGATCTGTCAATTTGAATTTAACTATTACATAGATTATAATGAAAAAATTTATAGCTTCAAGTTGTGGCAACTCAGGCTATATTAATTGAATATTGTGTTTTATTTTTTAGTATAATGCTCGAGCTAGAATTAATATATTGTTATAGTTTATTTTGTTAGTTATATATTATTGGACAATTTTTATATTTATTTTTATTGGACATTTTGTATAGTATATTTTATTGGACAATATTTATTTTTATTTTTATTGGTTAGCTA